AGGCCAGATAATCTTACATATCCCTAGCAGGGTCCTAATCTCGTCGTTACTTTTGGATCATGGCAGCATTTGTCCATGACCAAGCTCTTAACTTATAGTTAAGAATCGTGACACTTTGGGCTGGCCCATTTCGATGCCAGAGTAGTTCACAGCTTGCCCTGGGTCCATTCAGTCCCTCATCAGCACCCTGCTTTTGGGGTGCTAGGAACTAAGGGTAACTGAGGCTTAAGTCGAGAAAGCAGATGCCCAGGAGTGAATAATATTCAGAGCCAATTTAAACCTAAGTTACAAAGCATAATATTAACAGTCTTCCTGTATCTATACAAAAAGGACATTGCTTTAAAGTAAAGTAAAGGCCCTCCCATTGTTCATCGATTTTCTCGAGCAGGCCCAGTAACGTCTCCACTGGAGATTTTGTTGTTACTGTGTTTGGCAAATTGAATACATCACGGGTGGCTTGCCAGGCTCTGCCGTGTAGGCGAGATACTCTCGGTAGCTTGCCGGGCTCTCCGAGAAGGGCGGAGGAATCGAACTCGGGTCGGCCATGTTGGCTACATGCAAGGCAAACGCCCTACCGCTGGAGCGATAGCACAGCGGTAGGGCGTTTGCCTTGCACGCAGCCAACATGGCTTTAAAGTAAACTATTCAAAAGACAGAAGGAGAGGAGAAAGACAATATTTCACTCATACATATAAAATCATAGATTTCTGAGGAATCTGACCTTACAAGTTAACAGAGTGTGATTAGGGGAAAAGGCTGATCAACTGGTTGGGGAGGAGAGCATGAAGAAGAGTTTACAGATTAACACAATGGAATGGAAGTGCCTCAGGATCACTGTAGTAATAAACCTGAGTTTCTTGTGGCAAGGAAACAGGACATGCCAATGTTAGCCTAAAAATGTTTAGAGCTACATTCCAATAAACACAGAGGAATGATGGTGCTTCAGGAGCACTGTGATGGGTATCACCCGAAAAACCTAAGCTCTCTGTAGCAAGGGAGAAAGGATAGCCAATGTTATCCTACATTCTCCCATTCTCTCTTTGATCCTTTCAGCAAGGCTACACAGAGAAGCGTCTACCTCTAAATCACAGGAAGAGAACTGAGGACCCAAGTGGTTATTGTGTCTCTGCCCAACATCACCCACTGTGGGGAAGGTTGCTGAGAATCTGAGCCTAGTTCTGTCCAAAACTCAGCACCAGAAACACTTTTTCCTCACTAACCCTTCCTAACCAGGGTCCCCAGTTTTGACATCTCCTGGGTGATTCTCCACACACTGACTCCAGCCCTGCTCTTTGAACAGAAATCCCCTTTGGTCCTGCTGTTCACATAAAGCGGATTGTACCTCTCTCTGCAAAACCCTTTTGCAAGAGTCCCTCTTGAACAAAACTTGCAATGGTAGGGCTGATCAGTCACTGTCAGAGATGCATCAGGAAAGCAAGTCTCAATCGAGGGTCTGAGTTCTTTTCCTCAAGAAGCATGGCTGAACTGGGTGTGTCTGTTCCTAAATTGGATATTGCTGTCTCAGCCCCTTCACTGACCAATGAATCTGTCTGCCAGACATGGGGTATGTCAGCCCTTGTCAATGTTTTTCTGCAATGCTTAGTTCTTAAATGTGGACTAGATGCTTTCCCAGTGCATGTTCAGTCCACTGACTGATTTATACCACGAAGGCTTTTGGCATAGTTCTGTGTAGCACTCATCTAGATATTCAGCAAAAAGCTAATCACCAAAACTGTCTCAAGAAAACTTGCTGTCTCAGTGCTCATAGGCTCTTCGAAGTCCCCTGCTGGGTCTCCACCATATGCACCAGGGCAGTTGAATAACCACAGCAGGAACCCTCAAGTGCAAGGTTGTTCTGTGATACCAAGACAGACCCAGGATCAGAAATGTGGAGTGACCTGATGACAACAAGAGTTTTTGAATCTTCTTCGGGACAGGCCACATCTCCTCACCAGTCTTTGGCCTTCCAGAGCCCCAGGGGCTCTGTGCAGACTACTCCCTCCTCTCTTGCCTGCACTGCAGATGGACTCCAATAGAATGTGCTTCCTCAGACAATTGAGGATACAATAAACACATCTCAGTTTAATAAAGGCTGCAATGATACGCCAACACTAACCTGTGCTTGATGAAAAAACAGTGGAAATGCTTCCCTCTAAGATCCAGAATAAGATGAGGTTGTGACTTTTACTAATCTTGGTCAATAGGGAGCTCTATGACCTACCTAGAGTTATTTGTCAAAACAGGGATGAAAGTCACCCAGTTCAGGGAAGAATTAAAATTTTCCTAAGAAAGATAATAGGATTCTGTATGTGTAAAGTCCATAAGACTCAACCAAAAGATTGTTGGAACTAATTAAACAAATTCAATAAACTTGCAGGATAAAAGATTAAATCATAGAATTTAACTAAATTTATAAACACTGGGAATATTTTTAGAGGTTTAATTCCCAGTGTTTATAAATTTAGTTAAAAATTATTCCATCCACAAGAACATAAAAACAATAAAACTGTTTGAAAGAGAAAACACATTTTTCTAAAGAAGATATCCAAATATTCAACAGAGAGATGAAAAGAGGGTCAGCATTTCATACTATTAGTGAAACACAACTCTGAACCACAATGAATCTCACATTTATGAGAATGATCCATCAAGCTAAAACATAACTAGTCCTGGAAATCATGTAGGGAAATCCTCAAACTTGTCCACTGCTGGTGGGATTCATGTTGGTATAGACGCTAAGGAAAATAGTATGGGAAGTGAACAAAATATTATAGATAGAGCTACTGGCTGGAGATAGTAAAGTGCTTACCTCGTACACAATCAACCCTGGGTTGATCCCAGCACTGCTTGGACTCATCCCTTAATACAGAGGCAAGAATAAGCCCTGAGCACAGCTGGGTGTGGAGAAAAAAGGATGACAACAACAATAGAACTACCACATTATCCATCAATTCTACTTCTTGGTACTTTCAAAAGAAAGCTAGTGTTTTTACTAACTGCAAAAGATACATGTGACCCCATGCTCATTTTAACACTATTCAAGATAGCGGGATAGTCAAGATATGGGAACAACCCAAGTGTCCAATGATAGATGAGTTTATTAAGAAAATATGACATAGATTCATAATGGAATATTTTTCAGTTATAAGAAAGAAGGATATCTTGCTATTTATGACAATATGGATGGAGCGTGAAGGACTGTACTCAACGAGATAAGTTGGACAGAGAAAGATAAGTGCAATGTAATGTAGGTAGAATTTTTCAAAGTCAAAATTATAAAAACAGAGAATAAAATGGTGGTTACCAGGAGGTGGAGGTATAGGAAGATTGGAGTGTGAACTCAAAAAAAAAAAACAGTGGAGAGCGAGTAGCTCTTTGACAACACGTATTATAATCAGCAAACTTATAAAGAGAACTTTGACAACATGTATTATAATCAGCAAACTTATAAAGAGACTAGAACCCAATCATTCCTGCTTCTAAGAAAGGGCAATTATGTCACATGAAATAGGTGCTAATTATTGCTACAATAGCAATCATATCTTAATATAGAGGAGTATCACGTTTACATAATGTACACCCTAAATTTATGCAATGTTATATGTCAAATGGATTCAAGATAAATAATTTGACTAATTCAAATAGAAGGTCCAGTAGTAACCTCTTAGCAAGACAAAAACTCCCCTCCACTAAATTTGTGTGGGGCCTCCCTAGCAGCAAGCAGCAGTGTTCAGGGGCCCTGGGGATCCTTCCTGATGCTCATTGTGGATCTGATAGTTTATCTACTGGCTGTGTAGACCTGACAGTTCCAGGCCCAGACCCGTGGTGTGGGAGTGCCGTCAGAGTTGTATCCAGTAGCAGGCAGGTGGGCATGAGGTGCTGAGTTGGAACTCAAAAGCCACACAGTGCTCTGAGCTTTCTCTGGCCTCCACTTAATCCTCAGATAGTTCTGGGAATGCAATTCACCTATAGGTTGATTTCTCCTGCTTAGTCATGTATAAGTTTTACATTGTGTTCAGTATTCAGTTTGCTAGAATTTTTTTTATTAGCCTGGTAAGCTACAGAGAGTATCTCGCCCGCATGGCAAAGCCTGGCAGCTACCCGTGATGTATTCGATAGGCCAAACACAGTAACAACAAGACTCACAGTGAAGATGTTACTGGGCTCACTTGAGCAAATCGATGAACAATGGGAGGACAGTGACAGTGACAGTGACAGGAAGGAAGTTGTATCATACAAGATTATTTCAAACTTGATAGTCTACAAGCCAGAAAGAAATACTAACAGAAATGAGGGCCAGGGAGATAGCTCAGTGGTCATGAATGCATGTGATCTATACACAGGGATCTGAGTTAGGACCCCAGCACAACAAGCCCCACCCCCAAAACCTTCCAGGGTCACACTGGTCGTCTCTGAATTGCTGGGCCCAAGCATAACTGCCTTGGCAGATCTGAGCACTAGAAATCTGACTCAGTCTCTCAATCCTCAGGAGTGACCCAGGATTCCTCAGTACTATGTGGCAAGCTCCCCTGGAAAACTGATTTTTTAAAAAACAGAGGGTATAGAAAATAGAATAGCCACCTGCCTCCAGAAAGAAAAGGTATATGAGAGAGAAAGGAAGCAGAAATATGCCATTGAGGGTTGTGTCTTTCTCCATTTCTGGGGTCTCCTAGGCCCTATCCTCCAACCCAGCACTGGAGTCCAGGCAGTGGATGGTCCAGTGTGAGGGATGAATGGCAAGTGACTATCCCAGGTCATAGGAGTCCCAGTTACAATTGGCCAGCAACCGCTGGTAGGGCCAGGACAGACACATGAGCTGGAAAGAAAGGAAGGTGCATTTGCAGAGGACTCCTGTGGGGGGTGATACCCCCGAGGACAGCAGTCTGCCCCCGGAGGAAGCTCACAAAGTGTCTCCAGATGTGCTGAGCACTGCCCTGGAGCAAGGCACTGAGCAACTAGTCTTCAGTCCCATCATTAGTGCTAAAGAGTATCACAACCTTGTGCTCGCTTCGGCAGCACATATACTGAAATTTGAATGATGCAGAGAAGATTAGCATGGCCCCTATTCAAGCATGACATGCAAATTTGTGAAGTGTCCCATATTTACTAGAAATTAAACAGCTCAATGTTGAACAATGAGTGTCTCAGGAAGAAAGTCAAGAACGAAATCAAAAGATACCTGGAAACAAATGAGAACGAAGACACGAGCTATCAGAACCTACGGGATGCAGCTAAATCTGTGTTAAGGGGAAAATTTATAGCTCTACAAGCATTTCTCAGGAAGGAAGAAAGAGCCCACATAAACAACTTGACTTCACAGCTCAAGATCTTAGAAAAGGACCAACAAAAGGAGCCAAAACTAGGCAGAAAGAAAGAGATCATGAACCTTAGAGCAGAAATCAATGACATGGAAACCCAAAAATCATTCTGAAAGATCAATGAAACCAAGAGCTGGTTCTCTGAGAAAATAAACAAGATAGATAAACCACTAGCAAGACACACAAAGAGAGAGAGAACACTAATAAACCGAATCAGAAATAAGAAGGGGGATATCACAACAGAAACCAAAAAATTCAAAAGATTATCAGAGACTACTTTGAACGTCTGTATGCCATGAAACAAGAGAACCTAGAAGAAATGGATAAATTCCTGGATTCCTATAATTTCCCAAGACTGAATCAAGAATATCTAGAGTACCTGAATAGTCCTATTAACAACAAGGAAATTGAAACTAATTTAAAATCTTCCCAAAAACAAAACCCCATGTCCAGATAGATTCACTAGCAAATTTTGCCAAACATTTAAAGAGGACCTACTGCCAGTCCTTCTCAAGCTTTTTCAGGAAATTAAAAAACAGAAACTCTCCCAAACAGTTTCTATGAAGCCCATATCTCTCTAATTCCAAAAGGAAACAAAGACACCACAGGAAAAAAACTACAGGCAGATATCCCGAATGAACACGAATGCATAGATTCTTAACAAAATACTAGCAAATAGAATTCAACAACTCATCAAAAAGATCATACACCATGACCAAGTAGGATTCATCCCGGGAATGCAAGGATGGTTTGACATTCAGAAATCAATCAACATAATCCATCATATTAACAAAAGAAAAGTAAAAACCATATGATCATATCTATAGATGCATAGAAAGCATTTGACGAGATCCAGCACCTGTTTATGATGAAAACCCTCGCCAAAATGGGAATAGAAGAGACTTTCCTCAATATAGTTAAAGCCATCTACCACAAGCCTACAGCAAGCATCATCCTCAATGGGGAAAAACTGAGAGCCTTCTCTCTAAGATCATGGACGAGACAAGGATGCCCATTCTCTCCACTGCTGTTCAATATAGTACTGTAAGTACTTGCAATAGCGATTAGGCAAGAAAAAGATATTAAGGGCTTTCAGGTAGGAAGGGAAGAAATCAAGCTCTCACTATTCGCAGATGACATGTTACTATACTTAGAGAACCCTAAAACCTCTACCAAGAAACTCCTAGAAACAATAGTCTTGTATAGTAAAGTTGCAGGCTATAAAATCAATACCCAAAAGTCCATGGCTTTCCTATCCACAAATAGTGAGAGAGAAGAAAGTGACATGAAAAAAATCAATCCCATTCACAACTGAAAGTCAAGTACCGAGGAATCAGCTTAACTAAGGAAGTAAAGGACCTGTACAAAGAAAACTACAAAACGCTACTTCAGGAAATAAAAGAGGACATGAGAAAATGGAAAGATATCTCCTGTTCATGGATCGGAAAATTAACATTGTCAAAATGGCAATACTGTCCAAAGCATTGTAAAAATTCAATGTGATCCCTATAACAATAGCCATGAACATACTTCAAAGAAATGGAGCAAACACTCCTGAAATTCATATGGAACAATAAGCACCCACGAATAGTTAAAGCAATTCTTGGAAAAAAGAAAATGGGAGGAATCAACCTCCCTAACTTCAAACTCAACTACAAAGCAGTAATAATTAAAACAGCATGGTAATGGAACAAAGGCAGAGCTGCAGACCAATGGAACAGGGAAGAATATACTGACATCTCCCCCTAAGCATATGACCTTCGATAAGGGGGCAAGAAAAGTGAAGTGGAGCAGGGAAAGCCTCTTTAACAAATTGTGCTGGCGAAACTGGACAGCTACATGCAAAAAAATGGTCTCCGATCTCTACCTATCAACATGTACAAAAGCAAAATCAAAATGTATTAAAGATGTCGACACCAGACCAAAATCCATAAGGTACATTGAAGACAAGGTTGGCAAAACCCTTTGCGACATTGAAGCTAATGGTATCTTCAAAGATGTCACACCGCTGGCCAAGCAAGTGAAAACAGAGAGAGACAAATGGGACTATCTTAAACTAAGAAGCTTCTGCATCTCAAACGAAACAATGACCAAAATACAAAGACAGACTACAGAATGGGAAAGGATATTCTTCTAATACCCATCTGACAAGGGGTTAATATCAAGGATATACAAAGTACTGGTTGACCTCCCAGGATAGGAGAAGTATGCTGAAGGTAGACTATAGACCAAACATGATTGCCACTCAATACCTCTTTTGCAAACCACAACACCCAAAAGGAGAGAGAGAACAAGAGGGAATGCCCTGCCACAGAGGCAGGGTGGGCTGGGGGAATGGGAGGTGGGAGGGATACTGGGATCCGTGGTGGTGGGAAATGGGCACTGGTGAAGGAATGGGTATTTGATCATTGTATAATTGAAATCCAAGCACAAAAATTTGTAAGTCTACAACTGTACCTCATGGTGTCTCACTAATAAAAATTTAAAAAAATTTTTTAAAAAGTACTGGTTGAACTCCACAAGAAGAAAAATGTTTATTGCTGCACTGTTCACAATAGCCAAACTCTGGAAAAAACCCGAGTTTCTGAGAAGAGATGACTGGTTAAAGAAACTTTGGAACATCTACACAATGGAATACTATGCAGCTGTGAGAAAACATGAAGTCATGAAATTTACATACAAGTGGTACTACATGGAAAGTATCATGCTAAGTGAAATGAGTCAGAAAGAGAGGAACAGACATAGAAAGATTGAATTCATCTGGGGAATTTAAAGTAACAAAATAGGAAAATAACACCCAAGAATAGCTGAGATAAGTACCAGGAGGTTCACTCCATGGCTTGGATTCTAGCCACCCATGCTAGGTGAAAAGGCAACTCAGATAGAGAAGGGAGCACCAAGTAAAGGGTGTTGGGAGGATCCTCTCAGTATGGGAGATGTATGCTGAAAGTAGACTATAGACCAAACATGATTGCCACTCAGTGCCTCTTTTGCAAACCACAGCACCCAAAAGGAGAGAGAGAACAAAAGGGAATGCCCTGCCACAGAGGCAGAGTGGGCTGGGGGGGTGAGGGGTGGGAGGGATACTGGAATCCGTGGTGGTGAGAAATGGGTACTGGTGGAGGGATCGGTGCTTGATCATTGTATAACTGAAACCAAAGCACAAAAATTTCTTTTTTTTTTAAACACCCTACCCGCTGTGCTATCGCTCTAGCCCCTATAATTAAATCTTTTAAAAATTATATATTGTTCACTTCTTTATCTTCTCTCTTTAATAAGCAATGATCATAAAATTTTCCTTTAAAACCTCTCAAAGTCATTTAGAAGCCATTGTTGTTTGTGGAAAAAATAACAGTTAATTTTTTTCCCCTTTATTTTATTTTATTTTTTTTACAGTTGTAGATTTACAATTTTTTAGCACAAAAATTTCTAAGTCTACAACTGTACCTTGTGGTGTCTCACTAATAAAGATTAAAAGAGAGAGAGAGAGAGAGAGAGATCACAATCTCAGAAGAAAATGTCTGGATCACCTCAAAGAAACTGAGGAAAAAGAGGGGCTCCAGCTTCCCTGCCTGGAGGGGTGAGGACTAGGTGCCTGTGCTTCTCTTTCTACAAACTTCTCTTTCTGCAACTTTAACTCCTCTGGCCCCAAACCACACCAGCCCAAACCCTGTGCAGCTTCCACCCCCAGAGGATGAACCTTGACTCAAACATTGCAACTGTTTCCATAGAGTTCTGTAGAAAGTCATTGTGGTTTAGGTAGTGTAGTTACAACAGGGCAGAAGTTATGGCTTTTCTGTACATACTGAACCTTCCCTGTCACAAAAATGCCCACAACCACGTCCCCTGTCACCTCTAGTCCCATCCTCACTCACCCACCCCCTCCTGCCATTGCTTGGGCTTTAGTTTATAAATGAAGGTTGGGGGCTGCCATCCTTTGATACTGTCTATTCCCTTGTTTGGGTTCTCTGTATTCCGCAGCTGGGTGAGATCATTGGGTATTTATCCTCCTAACCCTAAACCAGTTCCACCCGTGTTGCAGCAAACTGCATGATTTCATCTTTTCTTCCAGCTTCATAGTACTAGACTGGGTATAAAGACCACACTTTCTTTTTTTTTAATAGGTGATAAATACATTTTATTTATATCAAAAAATCATCACATTTCTGTCAAAAAACTCTTATTTTTTTCTTTTTTTAATTTTTATTAGTGAAACACCATGAGGTACAGTTGTAGATTTACAAATTTTTGTGCTTGGGTTTCAATTGTACAATGATCAAACACCCATCCCTCCACCAGTGCCCATTTTCCACCACCACGGGTCCCAGTATCCTTCCCACCCCCTACCTCCCCGTCCCACCCTGCCTCTGTGGCAGGGCATTCCCTTTTGTTCTCTCTCTCCTTTCTTAAGCCATTCATCTGTCTTTGAACATATTGGTTCTTTCCAGCAAAATCTCCCAACTAAGTGTTGTAATGAGCTTAGGGACGCGTCTTTTCAAATTAATGTTTTTGTGTTTGGCGATTTGCTCGAGCGATAAGTGCCAAAAGTAGAATTGCTGGGTCATATGGAAGCTCTATGTCAACGTTTTGCAAAATCCTCCACACTGTTCAGAAGCTGAATCACATGACATCCCCACCAGCAGGGAATGAGGTTCCTTTCTCTTTACATCCCACCAACACTGGTTGTTTCTAGTCTTTTTGATTTATTCCATGATCACTGGTATGAGATGACGTCTCATTGTTTTTTTAGTTATTTCTCTCCACAGATTTCTTGGCAGACCCTCTTGGG